AAAACCCAAAAAAAAAAAAAAAAAAAAAAAAAAAAAAAAAAAAAAAAAAAAAAAAAAAAAGAGGACTTTTTTCCTCCACTTTGTTGACAAATGATGAGGGATGGATAGATGGATGAACGAGGAATTTATAGGAGAGGAGAAATGAGAATGAAGAATTGATTTTCTGGAGAAGAAAGGGATGGGAAAAGGAAAAAGTGATGGGAAAATTCGTAGGGGGCGCAGCAGGGGCCTACAAAAGGCAACCAGTTGGGGCTCCCTCCCTCGCTGGAGCTTCCTGGAGGCTCACTAACCACTAAAGTGATAAGAATTTGGTGAAGTTAGGTATTTTTGTGGTTGGGTAGTAGTGTTTGTCGATAATGATTAATGAATGGGATATGTTTGGTGGGTCTGTCTTGAATCATCCCAAATTCAGGCATAGTAACAGTGGGTGGGTGAGTTTTGGATGAATTAGAGCATTGTAATTAGGGAAGATAAGAAGATGGTCAAAAATGGTGAAGGTTTGTTGTTTGTTGTTTGTTGTTTTGCCATTTATTATATTCTAAAATCTTAGCTTACCTGTTCAACCAACTTTAGCGTAGAGGAGGAGAATGTGTTGGTCCAGAAATGCCGGACTCATAGCTTTATTCATTAATCTATTAAGGTAACACAAGAATGGGACCGTGAGAGGAGAGGGCTGAGTGGTGTGGGCTTTTTGCTAACACAACTCGAATATATTTAAAACTTGTCCAAGCCCACTTCCAAAGGAAACGGCAGCTGAAGGGCATTCTTGAAACTAAGATAGATATGGTGAGTAAGTTATGTCATGGATGGTCGGTCAGAGCATTAATATTTTGTTGCTGAAAACAACCAACTGTTTCAGCAAATGACATTCAAAACCTTTTGTTGGAAACAAAACCTCAGACCTAAATTTAGGCCAAGTGTAAGTGAGTGAGAAATGCTAGCATTGAATTTGGTGCAAGTCTCAGAAAAGTAGGAACACCACAGAAAACAGACTTTCATGATATTAGTAAGCTACAAAGTACCCAAGCATTCGAGTATTCAACCAGTTCTCCATTATTTTATCTTCTTCCATATCAAAGGTATTATATATAGGAAGAAGAAAAAAAAAAAGATGGGGGAGGTGATTGTGATTTAGCATTAAATAATAAAACACAACTGGCGCGTCCAATAATGATATATACTTTCTTGAACTGGGTATACATGTTATTCCTGGATATAGCAATTAGGTGGTGTCCATTTGAAAACACCCCAAAATTTATCATCCAACCACATACATGACACACCCCATCTCCCCATCAAACTATTTCAGTAAGGAGGAAGAGTAGTGGGCCTGGGGCTGGGCCTGGGCCTGGGAGAAAGCGCGGGTCCCACTATCAGCTACGCTTTAACACTCCGGTGTCTTACACAGACCTGGGGACTCTTTGGGTTCCATGCTTTAGGAGCTCTTGCGAGAATTTGTGGGCTCCCGATGGACATCGCTTCATCTTTTGGCTGACCTTTTTTGTGCTTCTTTTTTGTTTTTGTTTATTTGAAATATCTCCCTTTCTAATTGGTTCTTCCTTGTGTTTATGGTATGGTGGAGATGCCTTGGAGGGGTTTTGAGTGAAGGGTTGTTATATCTACGCGACTTTTGTTGGGTGTTCGCTACGCTCTGCGTCCGTTCTCTTAGTAATATATGAAAAATTAGTCCCCAACAAATTATGTTATCTATTTTTAGCGAAACAATGAAAAGAAACAATTTTGTGTTTATTTTTGTTACAATGGGTGGGTTACTTTATCTAGTGTGCACTCAATTATGGATTACTTTTTATTTTAATACTTTCTTCCAAATCTATTTAATATATTTTATTCATTTCGTTTGGTTTGTGGGCCACTTTCAAAAGAACCAATTTTGGCGTCTTTCTTAAAAAGAAAAAGAAAAAGAAAAAAACGTCAAATCAATTTAAACCTAAGATATTTGAAAAGATGAGTATATTTCATAATTTATTTTTGTAATTATAGTTTGATCGAGGGAAAAAGGTAGTTTTTTAATGTTAAAATATGTGGCATGTTTTGTTACAAGGTCCTATAATGTAATGTATATGCTAGTTTTGAGACAAAAGGGTTTATGTTACAGGAGATCACCAAAGCTCTGAACAATATGTGAGTGAGCCCACTTGTTTGGTTGGACATTCAAACTAGAATTGATTTTTAAAGATGTAAGTGAGTTTGAGGGGAATGATTAAGTGGGTATTTTGGGGGATTGAGTAATTAGGCATCTTTCTACGTGTCTATTCCCATTATTGGGTAACACAGATGGAGTAGTAGTAGGAGAGAGAGAGAGAGAGAGAGAGAGAGCTGAGAGGAAAAAAGGTTTTCGATTTGGCTAACGTGGGAAAGTTGTGTGTAAGAAAGAGATGGTTCCTTCCTCTTTTCTTCCTTTCCTCAAATTGTATCCTTTCTCATGTTTTCCTCTCACCCCCTCTATAACAAAATGAATCTAATCAAAACAAAACAAAACATTTCCCCTTAGCTTATCACTAACACACTTCCTCCCACCACATCTTAATTCCCCCACCCTCCTTCCCTCCTGCCTTCCTTCTATTTATAAATTTCATTTCCCAAACAAAACAGAAGAGACTGTGTGTGTGTGTGTGAGTTGTGAGGGTATAATTGGGGATATGGGATGAGGCCTCAAACACAATAGACCAAGCACAAAACCAACACAAAAAATGTGGGATCTGAACGACTGCCCTGATGTGAGGGAGGGGGATGAATCCGAAGCCTGTTCCTCCGCCAAGACCTCCATCGAGGGAGACGGGGATGATGACAAACGGAAAAGGGTGGGATCGGCTTCCAATTCCAGTTGTTCGGCTGCTGAGGAGGAGGAGGAGGAGGAGGAGGAGGAGGAGGACTTGGAGGAGGAAGAAGAGGAGGAGGAAGGATCCGATGAGGTATTGGGCTCCATGGTCATGCAAATTGACACACAAACCCCAAGCCCCGTTACTCGCCAGTTTTTCCCACTTGAAGACACTGAAATCCCACCTCCCCTTCCACTTCCAACGACTGATTCCGCCTTCCCTCGGGCTCACTGGGTTGGGGTCAAATTTGGCCATCCCGATCCCAATAATAACTCCATCAACCCCAATGACCTCTCCCACCCCATTAAGAAGAGCCGCCGAGGCCCAAGGTCCCGTAGCTCCCAGTATCGCGGGGTCACTTTCTACCGGAGAACCGGCCGCTGGGAGTCTCATATTTGGTCCGTTCCCTCCCTTTACTCTTTTTTTTTTTTTTTTTTTTT